GATGAAACGTGGCTGGACATTTCAGCAAGACAATGAGCCCAAACACAAAGTCAAGGAAACTCTCAGTTGGTTTCCTGTATCGATTTTTTAAGGTTTAAAATGTCAACTTTCCTGCCAGCCACTCATTTTTATGTTGTAGTTCAGCCTCTGACCACTAGTTGGCAGCAGTGAGCCAGCCACTTGGCTACTCTACCTCTTGAGGTAGAAGCTATTGTTAAGTGTTTGGTGACCTTATTGTAAATTAATATTAAAAACTAAAAGCTGAAAAAAAACTATTTTCAAACTATTGTCAAATTTAGTCTAATAATTGAAAACATGGATGAAATAAGAAATGTGAAACAAATGAAATAAAACACATACAAAGCAGAACACAGCTAAATGTATCAAAAGCTTGTAAAATATTAGGTAAAGTTCTCCTTTTTTATTTAATTGGTGCATTTTAAGTGTGTTTTTTATTTATTGGGTCATTTAGATATATATGCTTTTATTTTTAACTATGTTAGTTTCAGTCCTCCATATTTACTGCTCAAGGGAAGAAAACACTGTTTCTCAGTCTGCTTGGCTCAGATGGTTCTCAGCCTGTCTGAGGGGAGGGGAGAGAAGGATGCCTACAAATTTCAATTTCTTTCCCATTGATGCTCAGTTCTGGCTGGTTTGTCCTCCTCTTCCTGAAGTCTGTGGTAATTTAGTTTTGTTTGTTTTCAGGGTTCGCACAAATTATAAAAAGTTCTTAAAATGGCAAAAGATGTTACAGAAACAAAAAAAAATAAATCAAAGCATTTGCTAAATTTACTTTATCATTCTCCAGCTGTGCCTTTTGTTTGTCAACATGCTGTCAATACCACCTTTCTTACCAACATTACTTATTGTTTTTCTTTCTTTATTCCCACCTTCCTTCTTCTCTCCTCTCCTACCAGGCACCCTGCCCTACGACATCAAAATAGTAATCGCCGGAAACCACGAGTTGACCTTYGACCAGGAGTTCATGGCAGACTTGATCAAGCAGGACTTTTACTACTTCCCCTCGGCCTCCAAGCTGAAGCCAGAGAACTATGAGAATGTCCAGTCCCTCCTCACTAACTGCATCTACCTGCAGGACTCTGACGTCACAGTTCGTGGGTTCAGGATTTACGGCTCTCCCTGGTGAGTAAGCCCTGCCACTCTGCTGTCCATCCCACTGAACTCCTAAGACTGCTGGAGACATGCATGTCTTTTAGTGGAAGAACTGTTTCACAAGCTTGTCATGTGAACAAGCTTGTSATTTATTTCTATAGATTGCACATTAGTGGCTTTAAGTGCCACTAACAACAGCATTACAACGCTTAAAATTGTCTTTGATCTTGTCTATATCACATACCAATCAAGTAAAACTAATTGAAATGGGTCAAATATATTTGAATAAGAACATTCCTTCAGTCTAGTTTAGAGCTCGTTTCAGACAGGCTTCAATTCTGATCATCTGATGTCCTTTTTTCCCACTCATCCTCAAAACTCAGGCATGTCTGGATGACAAACCAGGCTTCCTCTTCCCACACTCCATTCTTTAACAGGCGGTTTGCTTAATAGCCTGTGCAAAACCATTCTCCTCTTCACTGCAAACACCTCTATACTGAGTACTAACCTCAAAAACCTGTCTGTAAACATCTGAAGTTCATAAACGTATTTAGTAAAACAAATGCAACAGACTGGAACATCAGAAATGTTGAGAGTTTTTRGAAGTCAATACTTAGTTTATGTGTTTGAGCATCTAATTGTTTAACACAAATGCAACTTGGATTGCTTCAGCTAAAANGAGTGACATAGTTTTATGTGGCGCATTCACACGGGATAACCAAAGCCTGAGATTTTCCTGAAATTTACAGACATCTCCTGAACGTGATGTTGAAGCCTGGTTAGTTGTTGTCTATTTAGTTGAACACGGCGTTGAACGGATGTTTAAAAAAATGAATAAAAATGAAATAAAAAAACAACAAACATCACGTTATCCACTTTTTCTGCTCTCCTTTGCTCCTGTGTTACAGCAGGCGCTGTCATCTCCACGGACAGACCCCCCACGAGTGGGTACGAGTGGTAGCCTACGGATTTTTAGCAAAAAGTATAGATTTTTGAGGCTCATCAGACAGGTAAACGTCCAAAGGGGTTGACACATATGAACACCTTCCCAGCTGGCGCGAGCGCCTGGTGCGAGAATCTACCCGAAGCGCGAGCCTGCTGCACTACGGCCACAGCTCAACTCAGCATCAGCCAGAAGGCTACAAACAGAAAAAAGAAATATTCTTACCGTACAGTGAGCCACCATTTGCGTCCAATTTTGCTCCCTCTCTTCAGCCTTTTTTATTTTATTTTATTTTATTTATGCCACACGTAATGTGTCGGGTTTTTCCGGCCCGGGACCCAAAAGGTTTCCAACTATGTGACAAAAATATAAAAACAGTTTACAGACTGGACTGAGGTTCATTTGATCATTTTTATACTGATCTATTTTCTTGTCTGAGGTTAAATGATTTTCAGTTCCAGGGTTCAGTTTCATCATCGTTCAAGTTTAAACAATAAAAACTAAAGCTAAAAAAAAAAAATCTAACACCGTGTTCAGACGGTCCTTACATCCAGAAAACACAACAGAGTCATATTTCTGTGGATTCAGGTCAGATTTGTGACTTTGTGAGTTAAAACTGTCGGCTGAAAAACTTTGCGTGGCTGCCACACATTCTCACGGCAGGTGAAAATAGTGCGTAAATATACGCGCACTTTCACGCAACGGTGGTTTTTATACATCACAATGTGGGCGTAGAACCTGGCGCACGTAAATTTTTTGTGCGTACGCACCGTTTACACATGAGGCCCCAGCTGATTCCTGTTTATTCAGACAAACCATTCTGAACAACACACTTTTCCTACAAAGCAACTAAACAACTAATGGTGGCTCTGATGACTTTGTTTACTCAGACATTTTTGGTACCACTTTACAATAAGGCTCCACTTATAGATGCTTATAAATAGTTTATAGATAGGTTATTAAATAATCTGTAAAGACTTTATAAATCATTAATAAGTGTTTATTATGTATTAATTAAGGACGAGAATAAGACAAAATCTGGTTTCTTGCCAAATAGTGATCCAAATCTGTTCATGTACATATTACATCTAAAGTGCTATGTTAAACATTGTAGACCAGGTTTCTACCTTGTAAGCACAATAATGATTTGGAAACACATATTTTACAAATAATGTTGTACTGTATTACTGCATTATACATGACCACAACAATCAAAGGGAGCCTTATTGTAAAGTGTAAAACAGTACACTATTTAGAAGGCTCCCTTATGACATTAATAAAAACGTTTTTCNCGGTTGGAATTACCAAAAGTTTTTGACACCTGAGAGACACCGTAGCAACTCCTTTGCGTTTGGAAGCGGGGGTGGGGGTGGGGGGAGGACCAGGGAGGATGATTCAACCACTCAACCACTAGATGTCGCAGAAAACAACAAATCCTACAAACTGTGCCTTTAATGGTTAATTTTAGGTACTGTGTTCTGGGATAGGCTGTATAGGGCTAATAAAAGTTAAATTTAGGGTCTGGGATGGTTAGTTTCACTCATTTTGTACTCGTAAAAAAAAATAGAACAACGCGCCCGTCCTCCTCCGCCTCATCTCGTAAAAAAATGACGCACGGGGGGTACGCATCAAAACTGGACACAAAAGGTACCTGACCAAGCGTCAATATGTTGACGCGGGGGGATGAGAATGGGTTGACTATTCCTAGAGGACTGCCATGTTATTCTGTGGCTATCCATGCATCACATGTTAGAGCGATTTTACTCACTTTCTTCAGTGTTTGCACCACTTGAATTTATGTCCTAGAGCAGTGGTTCCCAAAGTTGGGGTCAAGACCCAGAGTGGGGTCCTGAAAAGATTTTTTGAATTAATTACACTAAAAAATGAGAACTAACAATTTTTTATGCCTTTGTTGTTACAAAAGAGTAAGGTTAGTGTCTTTACATTGGACAAAAACAGCTTGATGAATATTGTTACTATGTCCTTGTTTATCTGACGTGAAAACATTGTTTATTAACCAACAACAGCTGGGGTCTCAGGCCTCTGCTGCTGGTATTTTGTGGGTTAAAAGCTGAAAAGTTTGGGAACCACTGCTATAGAGTGTAGGCCGATGACTGTGTTTTATTATAACTCAAAAAAAGAGCAACATAGCACACAAGCTCCAGTTTTCAGTGACTAAATGCTTATGCAAGTTCTTTGCAGTTCTAGTTGCCATGGACTTTGTGATCTTCGCTATTTTTGAGTCAGGTGGAATCTTTCACATCGCTACCCCTGTTAGCAGTGGCAGCTACTACCAGCTGTTTTCTTTTCTTCAAAGTTGAAACATGTACACAACGTACACATCCTGTGGATCTTGTCAACATCATTATCCCCTTTAATTCGTAGGAGCCAAAATACTTCCAAACCTTGGCTTTTAGTACAGGAGGAGCTGTGTGTTTGTCTGTGTTGTAGTATGCATGCCAGTTGATCTTGGTGCTGTGTTTCCATATTTCAGAGTTTAGCTTTTTGCATTACACAATATGATGTAATTACCATTCAATCATAATCTACTTTTAAATATCAAAAATGATTCAAATTTGTTCATGTCGGCATTGATGTGCATCAAAACTAGATTATAGAATCTAGATTATAGAATCCCACACCAGACTGCAACATGATCTGGCATCACCAGTGTAAAAGGTCTGCACCTGAATGTTTTCCTGTCACAATCACAGTTGTAGCGGAGTCACAAAGTCAGTGTGGCCAATACTGCTTCAAATCTTTGATAATCAAACCACACCAGTGCGCCATGTCAAGAATGATCTGTCACTGCCACGCTGCTTCCAGAGCCCCAGGATGATAATAAACTACTACCACATTACTACAGAAGCTATGTACATTCGTAAAACCTATTTGAACCTATCAGATGCAACTCTGGGAGATATAAATTTCTGCAGGCAGTTTACTATGGAGGACCGAAACTGACATAATTAAAAAAAATAAAGAAAATTTCCTTATGC